AAAAAAAAAAAAAAAGAAAGAAAAAGAAAAAGAAATACATCAACCAAACATTTCTTTGGGGGTCAATGAAATAGTAAATTCATGACATTAATAATAAGAAGAACAATAATAATAAACCCAGACAAGTTGGGACATCCTATAACTGGATAATTTAATAGGTACTTTAAGAATTAGATTATTTACATAATATAAAAATTTAGAAAGATTATGACTGCAACAAACTATTCAAAGTTTTAAAGAAATCTCAGAGAAACAGTTACTAAATTCAGCTTCGTTGAGATCATACTTTGTTAACTGGGACTACCCTCTAAGATCTTTTTGATTATGTTATAAAAACAATACCTTCTCCACATTAGAATTTTACAATCTAAATCTGAGCTGAAAATTTTAATCAATATGTAGAACCAAGAATCATCAAGCATTATTAAAGATTTAACCAACGTTGTACCTTCTCTGGATGTAAAACTGGGAATACTTATACTAGTTTACTAACAAATAACAACTAAAAAAAACAGGAATTAACTTAGAATGCAAACCAAGTTGTGCAGCCCAATTAAAGTAAAAGCAAGATACTTAAATATCTTTAGTAACACCATTAAGTGTTTAAAATCTCTTTCCAGGTATCAGGACAGAGGATTTAAAATGTTAACAGGCTCTCCCCCTCCCAAAGTAGCCTACCAACTCACCATCTGCAAAATCGCTCCATACAGCCGCAGGAGCACTTTCCGAGGCTCATCGCCAACAGTGGCTGTGGTGTCAGGTAGAGAGCACTGGAACAGCATGTTGCTAAGGCCACCTCTGTTGGAAGTAAGAGGACAGTAAGTATCTGCAATGAAGGTGAGCTAAATCCCTCTTCTTGGATAAATATGGATGAAAAGTCAGGGTTACACAACTGCTACCTTGTCTCAATTTATTCTCTCAATTAACTCCACCAGTCACATTAAAAACAGACTAATTCCCTATCTGTTTTTCTAGATTAGAGGTGGGGAAAAGTTTTTGAAATTGAGAACGAAGAAACCCCATTCCCACATACCTGCAAACTCAGATTCTTCTAGAATCCAAAATCTCCATTATATTTCTGTAATTAGTAGGTTAAAATTTTTTTTTTTTTTTTTTTTTTTGAGACAGAGTCTTACTCTGTTGCCAGGCTCCAGGCTGGTGTGCAGTGGCGCCATCTTGGCTCACTGCAACCTCTGCCTCCCAGGTTCAAGCAATTCTCCTGCCTCAGCCTCCCGAGTAGCTGGGACTACAGGCGCACGCCACCACGCCCAGCTAATTTTTGTATATTTTAGTGGAGACAGGGTTTCACCATGTTGGCCAGGATGGTCTCAATCTCTTGACCTCATGATCCACCCGCCTCGGCCTCCCATTAAAATCTTGAGGTAATATTTAAACCTTCCTCTTTCATTTGACAGGTATTAATTGTTCCAAGATCTTCTATGCTACTGTAACTAAAAATCTGTCATCTGATTCTGACTAGTAGCTTTTTCAAAAACTTGCAACATTAACTGTTCTCTAGGGCCTTCAGATGAAACAGGAGACCTCAATACTCTAATCACACACACCAAGTAAGTAGCTAAACCAGGAATCAAATCCAGGCATACAGCTTCAGAGTTCTTGCTTGTTAACTAACCATGAAGAGTTGTCAGAGATAGGAGGCAAAGCTGGAGAGCACCATGTACCACATTAAAGATGTCATAAAGGGCCGGGCGCGGTGGCTCACGCCTGTAATCCCAGCACTTTGGGAGGCCGAGGTGGGTGGATCACGAGGTCGAGACCATCCTGGTCAACATGGTGAAACCCCGTCTCTACTAAAAATACAAAAAAAAAATTAGCTGGGCATGGTGGTGCGTGCCTGTAATCCCAGCTACTCAGGAGGCTGAGGCAGGAGAATTGCCTGAACCCAGGAGACAGAGGTTGCGGTGAGCCGAGATCGCGCCATTGCACTCCAGCCTGGGAAACAAGAGCAAAACTCCGTCTCAAATAAATAAATAAATAAATAAATAAATAAGTCATAGAAGGCCGAGCACGGTGACTCACACCTGTAATCCCAGCACTTTGGGAGGCCAAGGAGGGTGGATCGCCTGAGATCGGGAGTTTGACACCAGCCTGGACAACATGGTGAAACAAACCCTGTCTCTACTAAAAATACAAAAATTAGCCCAGTATGGTGGCATGCACCTGTAATCTCAGCTACTTGGGAGGCTGAGGCAGGAGAATCGCTTAAACCTGGGAGGCGGAGGTTGTAGTATGCCAAGATCACGCCACTGTATCCAACATGGGCGACAGAATGAGACTTGTATCTCAAAAAAAAAAAGATGTCATAGTAGCTGTGTGAGTAGCAAAATCGCCTTCTATCAGGACTACTCTCTATAAACCTATGACACAAACGTCTCCGTGTCCTATCACTGCTATAACAAATTACTACAAATGTGGTGGCTTACAGCTGAAAACAGATTCTGACTGAGCTAATGAATTTTTTAAAATAAGGGTAACTAGGTGGAAATAGGGAGTTGGTTTAAGTTTAATGGGTACAAAGTTTCAGTTTGGGAAGACAAAAACATTCTGGAGACGGATGGTGGTGATGGTAGCACAATGTGAATGTACTTAATGCCACTGAACTATAAATTTTAAAATTGGTAAAATGGTATTTTTGATGCTGTTTATTTTACCACAGTTTTATTTACTTTATTTTTATTTTTTTCAGACAGCTGGAGTACAGTGGTGCTATCTCTGCTAACTTCAACCTCCGCCTCCCACGTTCAAGAGATTCCTCCTGCCTCAGCTTCCCAAGTAGCTGGGATTATAGGCAGATGCCACCATGACCAGCTAATTTTTGTATTTTGGTAGAGACAGATTTTGCCATATTGTCCAGGCTGGTCTCAAACTCTTGACTTCAGGTGATCTACCCACCTCGGCCTCCCAAAGTGCTAGGATTTCAGGCGTGAGCCACTGTGCTTGGCCTTATTTTATCACAGCTTTAATAAAAAAAAGAATGAAGTACTGATATATACTACAATAGGAAACTTCAAAACATTATGCTAAGTGAAAGAAGACTGTCACAAAAGACCACATGTTATATGATTCCATTCATATGAAATGTCAGAATAAGGAAATCGATAAAGTCCATTAGTGGCTGCCAGGAGTTGGTGGGGAGGGGGTACTCAGGGGTAGAGGATGATAGCTAAAGGAAACAAGGTTTCTTTTTGAAAGATGAAAACATATTAAAATGGTAACAGCTGCAAGTATCTGTGACTACACTAAAAGCCACTGGATTGTATAATTTAAATGGGTGAATTGTATGGTATGTGAACTATCTCATTTTTTTTCTTACCAATTAAAAAATATGAATGTGCTTCAACTTTCCCCAGATTTAAGTAAGATATATTTAAGAAGTTTTTTCAAAGGTTACTTAAAATGAAAAACCATCATGAGTGTCTAGGAACAAGACAGCAGAGTCAGGATCTATTTTCCCAGAAGGTTGTTTACCTTAGTTAAGAAGAACAAAAATAAAGGCCGGGCGCAGTGGCTAATTCCAGCACTTTGGGAGGCCAAGGCGGGTGGATCATGCGGTCAAGAGATAGAGACCATCCTGGCCAACATGGTGAAACCCCGTCTCTACTAAAAAAATACAAAAATTAGCTGGGCATGGTGGGGCATGCCTGTAGTCCCAGCTACTCGGGAGGCTGAGGCAGGAGAATTGCTTGAACCCCGGAGGCAGAGGTTGCAGTGGGCCGAGATTGAGCCACTGCACTCCAGCCTGGTGCCTGGTGACAGCGCTAGACTCTATTTAAAAAAAAAAAAAAAAGAACAAAAATAAAAGGGACCTCTCTTGTTTTCCCAAAGCAAGCTGTGAAGCAGGCCAACAGTGTGTAGATCAAAGGAACAAAAAGCAGCCTTAACCTCGCTGCTAAACTTGGGGTGGCGCCTCAACTGTGTGACTTATCAGAATCCCCCTGCCGTGTCTGGTCACAGCCAGCATAAGTTTCTGGCTACCAAGCAACAGAACAGGCATTAACACAGAGTTAAAAGCCCTAGTTTTTGTTCCGGTCACATACTCTGGAAATCTCAGTCAAACGCAAAAGCAAACAGATGAAGTACTGTTCTAAATTGTGTAACCTGATTCAAAGCTTACTGCCATACTGCTAAAGAAGGAAAGCAGACTAGCTTGGCCAGAAACAAGCTCACAACCCAGAAACCCTTCATCTGTTTTGTATTACCTGAAGCCTCTATTGTTCAACAGGTCTTAGTGAATAAATTGTCAATTATTTTTTAGTGACAGTCAAAATAAATGAAGTAACATAATTGGCACCAATAACTCAAACTGTGAAAATTTAACTAGAAAAAAAGCCAGTTACCAATGAATCAAATAATATAACTAGGGACAATAAAATCTGGTGGGAAGAAATGCCAGAAATGGTAGCAAAAATATAACAGTCCATTTTATCATATAATTTATCAAAAATATCTTCCCAAGTAAAACCTTAGGAGCGCTCAAAGATTTGTAAGAAGTTTTAAAACCACAAACTTTTTATAATCTGGCATACCAGCTTTATAGGTCATAATTAAATATGATCAGCATGGGCTGGACATGGTTGCTCATGCCTGTAATCCTAGCACTCTGGGAGGTCAAGGCAGGCAGATCACTTGAGGGAAGGAGTTCAAGACTAGTCTGGCCAACACGGTGAAACCCTGTCTCTACCAAAACTACAAAAATTAGCTGGATATGGTAGCACATGCCTATAATCCCAGCTACTGGGGAGGCTGAGGCAGGAAAATTGCTTGAACCCAGGAGGTAGAGGTTGCAGGGAGCCGAGATCACACCATTGCACTCCAACCTGGGACAAGAGCAAAACTCTGTCTCGATATTAATACACACATACATACATACATACATACATACATATATATATGAGAGGCACGAGATACTCAAGCAAAATCTCAAATAAGTGACAATAACACACTTATTCCACACTCAACACAATGAAAGGAAGGAAACAGAAAAGAGCAGGAAGTACCTGCTGGTAGGAATTCTTACCCCTGCCCTCCAGACCCAGTGGTGCAGGCATCACTAACCAACTCATGATTCGTTAAAACAGAATACTAAGGGAATAATAAGCAGTGTAAAGAGGTTATCTTACATAAATTGTTAATCAAAAATTAAAAGATTCACTTCCGCTTCTAATGATAGCCAGAACTAGGCAAGAGAAAGAAGTAAAAGGCATCCAAATTGGAAATGAAGTTAAATTATTCTTGTTTGCAGACAAAATGATCTTACACATAGAAAACCTTAAATATGGCTGGGCACGGTGGCTCACACCTGTAATTCCAGCATTTTGGGAGGCCAAAGCGGGCGGATCATGAGGTCAAGAGATCAAGACCATCCTGGCCAACATGGTGAAAACTCATCTCTACTAAAAATACAAAATTATCCCGGCATGGTGGCGCATGCCTGTAATCCCAGCTACTTGGGAAACTGAGGCAGGAGAATCGCTTGAACCCAGGAGGCAGAGGTTGCAGTAAGCCAAGATCCCGCCATTGCACTCCAGCCTGGGCAACAAGAGTAAAACTCCATCTCAAAAAAAAATTATATAAACATTATGAATAATGCTCCAATGCTTCAGCACTTACATCAAATACACAGGTTATAAAATTATAAAATCCTGGCCAGGCACAGAGGCTCATACCTGTAATCCCAGCATTTTGGGAGGCTGAGGCAGACAGATCACCTAAGGTCAGGAGTTTGAGACCAAACTGACCAACATCGTGAAACCCCGTCTCTATAAAAATACAAAATT